GAAACATCTACATAAGCTAAAGCTTGTAGACAGTCCGGTCTGCCGAGGATGTGAATCGGCGGATGAAACTTCTCTGCATATCCTGGGCGAGTGCCCGGGATTTGCACGTAGCAGAATGGCGCTCCTTGGGAGACCCTATTTGGAACCCAAGGAACTGAGAGAAGTGTCAGCAAGGAAGCTTTTGGACTTTGTAAAAAGGACAAATCTACTTGCTGAATATGACTAGTAGTGGGACGCACAATAGGCCTAATCAGGCCGCAGTGCTATGGGATTTATGAGGACCAACCATTAGAAGTAAAAGTAAGAAGTAAGAACATACTTCCATAAATAAAATATTTTTATTTGTGAAAGTACTCGGGTTGTCGGTTATGGTAGTATTTTTTTTCCGCTACCAACCTAATTTGTTTAACAATAGGCCGTCAACTTTGACAGTCTGTAACTCCGTTGTTTTTCAAGGATTGACGATTTTTTTTTAATTTAATGCTCTTTTTATAAGCTTTACGAATATGTAATAATATATAACTATATCACGCTCGTGCGTCGTATATTTCATTTTACAACTAAGGCTAAAAAATAAAAAAAAATTCCAGGTTGCAAATTTGAAACTAAAAAAAAGTTATAGATTTCAATGTATTATTATAAAATCTACCATGAAAAAAAACAGTGCTATTGTGGAAGATCCTCGGGATCGTCCAGACTAATAATAAGTTAATTTGTTTATAAGGCCATATATTGTAAACTATTTAACTTATCGATTCCAGATTTCGTGCGAGTTATTAGACAGTGATCAGGAATGAGAGGATGCGATGCCAAAACGTTCTGGTAATAATAACGCAGTTTATAAACGTTTAATTCAAAAGTCATAAATAAACTTCTTCTGTTTATAACTTTTGATCTAATCAATATTTTTTGACGCTCGAGGTCTAGTTTTGTAGATCTTTTGAAGACGAAAAAAAAAGTACTTTACTGTTTTTTCGTGGAAATGAACGGAAATTTACGTAAAAATTATACAATTAACCACACTGTAAACAATCTTCTCCCCATTTCTATGACTGTGGAAACTAATATGATACTGTACATAATATTTAGCATCTATAGTGATAAATTCAACTTGCCGAAACAAAAAGTCGCGAAATGGTCATTTCCCAGTTTATTTTCCTGGCCTAAATACTCAAATAAACAGAAATAACTGTGCCACAACTATAGACAATTACGAGGACAATATGTTGTACTTACTTGTGACGATTGTTCCTTGTTGCTCTTGTGTGAAAGAAATGACGACCTTGATATTGTCGCTGTAGGCCAAAGTCTTAAAAGGAACATCCTTCTTTGTGGGACTCGTAAACAGCACTTTTCCGTGAATGACGTGGCTATCAATTATTTTGTCATCGATTAAATTCGGACGTTCGTTCTGAAATACAAACAGACCCATCAATAACGTTGTTAATATTAGATTTAAGGAATCCTTACCTCAAATCCTTCATCAACCGAAATAAAGAATGTGTGGCCGCCTTCTGTTTGGAAGATGTTCTTCTTAGAGAATTCTATAACCTTTTGGCGGAAAGTTCTAAAAGGGATACAGATAAATTACAATTAATATTATCACATTCTTCGCACATTTTTTTCTAAATAATTCGATAGTTATTTATAACTAATTTTTATTTCTTCTGTAAATTGATTATACATCGATATTCTTTGGTGAAAATTAGTTCGATATTTCTCTTTACGTTGTCTTTTAAAAACATCAATAATTGGTTCCTAAGTATAGAGTTAAAATGCAGAAATATATTATTTAGTGTACCCTGGCTAGAGCTTTTAAATATAACATGTTAAAATCATTCTGATTTGAGAAAATTTACTTGAAAATAACAAAATGTACAGAGCGATCATGTGAAAATTGCACTCTTTCTTATATATATTGTACTCAAAGATGTTGAAAAGGATAGAGAGAACGAAAAACTGCAATTTGCGCAAAGGCTGTCTTCAGTTTTCCGCGACTGGATGACCTAAATTGGGGAATTATTATTTTAAAATAGACTAAACTTATAGTCTACCAGAACTGGTTAACTGGGTAAAAGGAGCAGCAAATTTACAGAATGCGCATCGATACACAGGGTGGGCCATTAGTGTGAGAAAGTAAAATAACTCCCTTGTAACTCATAATACAGAAAAAACTTTATATAAAAGTTATACAGGATCAAGAAACCTAAACTACAAAATTAATGTGATACATACAGGGTGTTCCGTTTAAAAAATGTTATGTTTGGCGTGTCCCGTTTTTACTCATCGCCCTGTGTGTTTCAAATTAATTTTGTCCATTAGGTTTTTTGATTCTGTACAACTTTTATATAAAATTTTTTTCTGTATTATGAATAACGAGGAAGTTATTTTACTTTCTCACACTAATGGCCCACCCTGTATGTCATCTCCCTTTTCTTACATCTATGATTGTACTTAATAAAAAATGTAGGAAATCTTTTAAATTTTTTAATATCCATATTCAACATGGTACTGAGACAGATATACACATATTTTTGTTCGAACACCCTGCATATTTTACATATTTACATAGAACTCTTTCTTAGGATTGTAATGATAAAGTTTGATAGATTTATATTTAATAGTAATGAAGATGTTAGTAATTGATATATTTCTAACACATGATTTTGTTAATAATAACAAATAAACTGGTGAACTGATTCTATCATCTATAATTTCATTGATTTTTGTAGGTGGATGTAAAAATCTTTTACATCTGGATGTAATAGTTATTTGTTTAACTATGTACCTAGTAAAGTATAAGATTTAATGTCGCGGCGCCATATTCTTTAAATAGTGTTTTCCTCAAAGACAAATAATTTCAAACATTTAATAACTGAATAATCTAAAGCTTATCAAATAATAGGAATGTTATGTCATGCCACCTAAGTATTTTCAAAGACGCCGCAGTAAAACGAATAAACAGGTGCAAAAAACGGTCAAACCATCAAGGTTTTAGGTACCGAAATCTACGAAAATAACTATTTTATATATAAATCCTCATGTAAATATTCTTATAACATTTACATATTTTATAGAACAAGCACGTAATTTATATTGACAATTTTACAAATTGATAATAAATCATATCTGTACCTGTACACGGTGGTGCGATTTAGCCGAACTTACCTTAGTCCAAAAGTTGATAGTTAAATGATAGTTAAAGAGATACAGGGTGTTAAATGTAAAATATTATTTTTGTTTTTTTTTTCATGTATAACTTAACAAATGCAAATATCCTCACAAAATTTTGAGGTTTGGTGTTTTTTAAGTAGAGGAATTGAAATCTGTTCACATTTTGATTAAAATTTGTAGAGGGAGCTAGTTGCAGTAGATTGAACGTGTTAAAAACAACATACCTTTTTTATACTTTAAGGTATCTCATCTTTGGTAGGTATCAAATTCTTATTTTCTTTACAACTTACTAACTTTATTACACAAAAAAGGTATATTTTATGAAACTAGCTGTCTCGCACCGTTTTTGAAATATTAGGCTTTGAAACTTCCAATGCTGTTGAATTAAATTGCAATTAAGTACCTATTATTAATTTAGCGGTAAAGTTTATTAAGTTTGCACAAAAGTCAAATAATTGACGTTTTCCACTTGTCTTATTGCTGTCAGTTGCAAGCTACTTTCCATTAAGTGTTATTCGTACCTAATTAAAATTGCATCTTAGCTTACAATTTAAATTGTATATACATAAATGTGAGATAGAATGCCGAGACTCGTTTTTGGGGTTACATGAAATCAGTTGTTTATGCATGGATAAACTATAAACACCTGGGAAGAACTTTGGCAGCAGGTTTTAAATGCTACAAAGTCATTTCGCGTTAAGGATTTATACTTTAAACTAAGACAATCTTTTAATAAACGCGTTGATAAATGTATTGAAGTTAGAGGTGGACATTTTGAGCAACTATTGTCAAGAAATCATATTTTTTACTAATGTTTTACTGTTCATCACAATTTTTAATTAAACTCTTGTTTTTAACATTTCTAAATTATTTTTATTATTTCAACTACCTATTCTGCCCTACTTCGGAAGAAGACCGTAGGTACGTGAACATATGACATAGGCATAATTAATTTGGCTGTAATTCATTTACTAATTAAGGTAATAACTTGATTTTTTCGGTAACGGCAAATGAAAAACAAACATTTTTTAACGTATTTCAAGAATGTTATAACATTGCAATATTATTTTGTCTTAATAAATTTAAGGTTTTGCTAGGTAAAAATACATTTTCAACAGACATTAATAGAAGAACCAGAACATGTACATCGTATACATGATATTTTGGATGTTTTTACAGGATATTTTACAGTTTTTAATATATTGTGTTGCAAATAATGTTTAATTGTTGTTTAATTTAAAACAACGCATGAGAACACAAACGAATTTAATTTGTTAAAAACATCGTATTTCAACGCGTCATCTAGAGAAGAAAGCCGTATGTGGTCATATACTATGTACCCCTTAATGAAATACATGCACATGTCACATGCGGTGTTTTTTTCTAGTATAGCGACGAAGAAAATAAGAGTGACACAATATTAGCAATTTAAAATGTACAAATTTTTAAATTTCCGGAAACAAAATTGATATTTTTGATATTTATAGATGGGTATAATGTGATGTAGATTTAGAAAATGTAATTATCTCAATTTGTCACAAAACTGTATATACGGTCTTTTTCCGAAGTAGGGCAGTATTAGCATTGGAAGTTTGAAAGCCAAATATCTCAAAAACGGTGCGAGACAGCTACTTTCATAAAGTATACTTTTTTTGTGTAAAGAAAGGAGATACAAAAAAGTTATGTTGTTTTCAACACATTCAATCTACGGCAGCTAGCGCCCTCTATGAACTATAACCAAAATGTGAACAAATTTCAATTCCTCTACCCAAAGAACCCCAAACCCCAAAATTTTGTGTGGATATTTGCATTTATTAAGAAATAAATGAAAAAAAAAAACAAATAATATTTTACATTTCGTCCATATTATCACGTATAGGCGTATGTGTATATCCATTTCTTGGATTATATGCTCCTACGTGATAAGAGGGACGATTTAACAAGTAAGTTCGGTTAAATCTCAATGTTTTCGCTTCGGGAATCTATCTACCCATGAATTTTGGACCATTACCTCGGTACCACCCTGTATGTGTAACGAACATATATAAAAAAGAATTTACATACCGAAGTCTATGCGGGTGCTGAATGAGAGATTCATAGTTCTCTAAAAATTCCCAGGCAGTGGGGTTGTAAACAGCATTTGATGCTGTCCTGGGAGACCTCGTGGGGATCAAAACTTGATCAATTTTATGGAGCACCTAAAACAAAGTAAAAAGCCATGCAAAAAGTATTCTGACGAAATTATATTAGAATGACTTTCGGCAAACTCTGCTATCCACTTTAAATCTGGCGTGATGCGTGAAATGCGTGCCGTAAAACTACGAAACCACCCTTGAAGCGCCCTAAATGGGGATGTAATGGTGAAATATTACTTGACATTGTATAGAGAGATGCCTTGCTAACAGAAGAGCGTCGGCAAAATTGAAAATAAGATTACAGCGACTTATAAACTTTTCGATATAGCTGACCTTTACGGAAATGGCGGTTTCAGTTTATATTTTTAAAAGAGGTTTTACGTTTTCAAAAACAGCATTTACAAATTGTTGAAACAGTTAAAAAGGGTTTGGCCACACTCTTTTTTTATTTTTATGCGCAATAAAAATAAAAAAAGAGTTTCTATAAATATGTGTCGGAAAATGTTTGTTAAAAAAATGCCAAGTGATAAATATGAATGTACTGCCAAAAACTTATTTTTTTTTAAAATAACTTAAAAATGCCGTCTCGGATACAAACACACTCGGCATTAGAGCATTAATTATTACATAGAGCAATGGCGTTTTCTTTAAATACAGTGGCGAAGATGCAGTGGTGTAATTAAGGGCAGTTTCTTATAAAAAAATGTCACATTTTCGGCAACGCGACGGTGAAAAATGTTGTATTTTTCTCAAAGGGCATATTAAAAGGCACAAATAGGCGTTGTCGTTTAAAATCTACAATCTGCACCTTTTGCGAAAATTTGAAATAAAAGTGCCATGGATTGGTTTCAAATTTTGTTCATCATACCAAATAAAATAGGTATTAAAAAAATTGTTAATATTAGTATTAAAATCTATCCTTTTCCAGAGACATTTGAAGGGGTCAGTGCAAAAAATAGCTAAGTCCATATTTTTGTGAGATTGGATTAAGGGACGCCATCTGTATGAATTTACCTTTACTATACGTTGGCAAGAAGCGTAGGTATTACTGCACGAAAACCCTTATGCCGAAATCATAGTCGCTTGTCATTCAGTGCAAGTTCTTCATTTTTATAGCAAGTTCCTTATTTTCATAGCAAAACTTCCTCATTTTCATATGTTGAACCCATTTTTTTTTTCACAAAAAGTCCAAATTAAAAAAAATCTCGTAATCGAATAAATTTTTGATTATACAGGATGTCGGGTAAGTATATGGCTTACTCCCGGCAGTGTTTAGGGGAGGTGAAAGTATTCCTAGTTTGCCATAGAAATTTTTTTCCTAAAGTGCCCCTTAACGGAGCTACAGAGCGCCAAAGGGGTACCCAGCGATTTACCTTTTCGGTTCTAACTTTTGAACCGAGTTGTATAATTTAATGAGATTTTAATATTTTATATAGGCCATAAAGACTCATAAAGCCATACTACGGTAGATGTTTTACACTGTCAAGGAAGTCAGGAACGGACTTGCCACCACACTCATTGGCCCAAAATTTTGACAGGTGTTATGTTATAGAGCTGAAAACTGAATTTTTAAATACATACTCTGGTCACTCCTAAAAAAGGTACTCTACATTTGTTTCGATAAAATTTGCCGTTTTCGAAAAAATTGAGTTTTTGTAAAACGCGTTATTGAAATAATAAATTTGAATTCTGCAATAAGACACTAGTCATTTTTGTCGTTATTGACAACACTTGTAAAAATTGTCTGATTGATTGAGTACACAAGACTAAATAATGGAGCATTGTTCCTGTAGCGAATATGCTGACATGCATCTAATTTATGGACAAGCACTCGCAATTGTGATGAGAAGAATATAATAATAATAATAATAATAATAATAATAATAATAATAATAATGTTTATTCATTTCAACAAGTTAACAAATTACAAAAGAGCAATAACAAGATCAGTAAAACCAATAACAAGAATACTACAGATAACAAGAATAAACGCAGTACACCCACTATAGGCATAGCCTGTGCGTGGGGAAGGTAAAAAAAAAAGACAAAACCTAACAAACAAATAGAATCAATTTCAACATAATAACAACAAGATTATACACAGTCCACACATCAATCAATAGTATTACAAGATACAATTTACAATTTACACCATAACATGTAATATACATAAGAACACGAACATATTAAGCAAATACTGAACAATTAATCGATTTTAGTTCCACAGCATCATGGATATCCTTTCTAGCAACAGAGAAAATAAAGTTTTTTAGCGCTTTTTTGAAAGTAACTGTAAATCTCATGGACTGTATTTTATCTGGCAATAAGGCATATAACCTCGGACCAAGGTAAGTATGACTTTTTTGTCCTATGCTTTTATTCTTTCTTTGAGTTACAAACATTTTACCTTTGTTTCTTGTTTCATATTTATGTTCGCTGACTATTAATTGACTTTTATTTTTGTGTTGATGTATAGTTAGGAAATAGAAGAATAGTTGCCGCAGGTCCATCAAACACGCTTCAATAAAAAGATCATCCGAAGGGTAAGTAGATATTTTTTTAAACATGATTTTAATAATTGTTTTTTGTACTATTTCCAGATTACGCAATATACTCTTACTTACATTTCCCCAGGCTACAATTCCATAAATTAGGTGCGATTGAACCAATGAATTATAAATAATTATCAGAGAATCATGGTCAAGTATATCCCTTAACACTTTAAACTTATGAAACAAGAATCTTACCTTATTAGAAATATATTTTATGTGCTTATCCCATTTTAGGTGATTGTCTAATATGACACCGAGATACTTAAATTCTCTGACCGAATTGATTACGATATCGTCTGAAATAGTCAGAAACTGAACAGTGGGTGAGGAACGAACATCAACATAATTATGTAAAACTCGCGTTTTATCATAATTTACTGTAAGCAACATTGATTTAAACCATTTAAATATTATAGCTAGATCTTTTTCAGCTTTTCTTGTGACAGTTTCCCAGTCATCGTCACTGTAGAAAATACATGTATCGTCTGCGTATGCTATAATATCTCCCATAGTGGGCAGACAGAATAACTCATTTATATATAAGTTAAACAGTATAGGACCTAATACAGAGCCCTGAGGGACTCCATACGTGATCCGTTTTAATTCGCTACGATAATTATTTATTGCCACAAACTGATAACGATGAGTGAGGTAACTCCTGAAAAAGTTTAATGACACCCCTCTAGCACCCACTCTTTCCAGACAGTTTAACAACAGATCATGACTTACAGTGTCAAACGCTTTTGACAAGTCTATAAATACACTGAGGGATTTTTTGTTGTCGTCCATAGCCGAATATATATTGGAAGTAAGATGAAGAATAGCATCTTGCGTAGATACCCCAGCTCTAAAACCATACTGTCTTGGTGATAATACCTGATGTCTCTCAAGGTAGGTACATAATCTTTCTTTTATTATCTTTTCAAAGACTTTAGATAAAGTTGTAATTAACGATATTGGTCGGTAGTTAACAACATCAGCACGATCGCCAGATTTAAATACTGGTATTACCATAGATGTTTTCAATGCATTAGGAAAGTATCCTTCTTCAAAGCATTTATTAATTAAGAACATTAAAGGTTCACCCAGAAATGGACCCATGCATTTTAATAATTCCCCTGTAATTCCATCTTCACCAGGTGACTTGTTACTTTTGAGTGATTGTATTATATTATTTATTTCAGTTAATGTTGTTGGTTTAAGAAATATGGATTCAAAATGATTAAAATAATTTGATGTTGAATTGACTTCTGGCTGATTAATAATTTTACCTGCCAATTTTTGACCCACAGTAACATAATGGTTATTAAATACGTCAGACATAGTTTGTTTATCTTTTATAGTTTCTTCATTGTGATTAACGTATTGAATATCCCTTGATATTTTCTTAGACGAAGTTAATTCCTTCACAGTCTCCCACATCGCTTTATTGTTATTTGAACTTTGCGCAATTCTATTTTTATAATAATTCATCTTAGCAGATTTAATTACATTATTTAAACGATTTCTATAAATTAGGTATCGATTTTTTAAATTAATGTCAAATCTTTCCAATAACTGGTTATACATTTTATCCCTTTTGTTTATTGAATTAATAATACCCTGCGTGATCCAACTTTTGCGCTTCCTTTCTGATTTCCTTATAATGTAAGTGGATTTTTGTATCTCTTTTGTAATAATATATAGAAGTTTCTCAAAACCCGATTCAATACTGTTAGCTTGATAAATTTCATTATAACTAATTTGGGTCATGCCTTCGCTAAGTTCTTTATAGTCAACTCTTCTATTTATTTTTATATCTTTTTTGGAAATCTTACTAGTTTCAAAAATAATTTGAACAAGTACCGTATAATGATCAGTTAGTTTTGTTTTTATCACAAAAGGTAATAAGTATTCATAATCGCATTTAGTCCTAATAAAAACATGGTCTAAGCAAGACCGACTATTTTCTGTCACTCTCGTAAAATCATTTATTGCAGAAACAAAATTAAATTCACACAGATTATTCAGATATTCCCCTACATGTTCACTTAGTTCATTTTCGAGTATGTTAATGTTTATATCACCCACAAACAGAAAATAGTCAGCCTTATCCAAATTGCTATTTGAAAAGTATTGTTTCAGATCTCGCACAAACTCCAAAGGCTCAGTAGAAGGTGATCTATACCCAGCCAAAATATTAATATTTTTTTGCTGAAACTGAATCTCGACTAGAATCAATTTATTTATATATTATATGTTCTGATACATTTCCAAATCGACGTTTATCGCATCGAAGAACTTTTGAAAGGATTAATCGTAGCCTACGAGAAAGAGGTAAAAACTCCCTCTAATTGTGAGAAAGCTGTCGGTCCAAGTTCATGCGACAAAGTGGGTCGTTCATGAGACCCCCCCCCCTCAAAACAACTGCTACATCCTTATCACGTCCAAAAGTACATGCCATGTCTCCCGCTGATTATCCTGTAGGAGTCAATTATGCAAATTGGTTTTTGCAACGATTTAGGCAAAATC